AAAAGAAAAAGAAAAAGAAAAAGAAAAAGAAAAAGAAAAAGAAAGAGGAAAAGAAAGAGGAAAAGAAAGAGGAAAAGAAAAAGAAAAAGAAAAAGAAAAAGAAAAAGAAAAAGAAAAAGAAAAAGAAAAAGAAAAAGAAAAAGAAAAAGAAAAAGAAAAAGAAAAAGAAAAAGAAAAGCATTTGGCAGAGCTAGCTAATTTTCATCACTATTGCAAAGTACCAAAATCAATGTTGTTTTACTCTGTTATTATTACAGTGAAGAGAAGCAAAGTACAGGAAATCATAAATTAAAGCAAATCAGATTGAAACTGTCCTGCTTCATGAGTTTTAGAGAGGCAATAATCAATTTGTTTACTTTGGTAAAAAAAAAAAACAAAAAAACACCTATTTTCACAATTAGGAAAATACAAGTAAGGGAACATTTTATCCGTTAGCAACTGGAAAAGAAAGGTGGGGGAACATTCAATAATTACTATGAAAATTCTGTATCCTTTAAAAATCCCGATTTCGATTAGGATATAGGCTATTACAATCTGTTAAGGAACTGCAAAGCATATTAATCTTATAATCTTATGATGATGACAAAATCTGAGATAAAATGGATAAAATGGATAAAAGAAGTGAAATAAAAGTTGTCACCAAATTGCACCCTGTACTAGAATTAAAATAAAGTCTTTTTAAGACTCAATGCTGTACATTCCAGGAATTTAAGAGTCAGCAGTTCCAAAGACATCAGATCAGATAAAAATTGAGGCAATTTAAGGAATAAATAAATAAATAAATGAAAATTAGGAAAAAAAATTAAAAAGGTAAGATAAAGAATAAATAAGAGGAGGATTATTCTTTTTTCATAAGGAATATGACCTCACTATCCCAGGGACGTGACCAAGAGCTTCTGCTGTGATGAGAACACCCAACACTGGATGGCTTGTAATATAAATTTAAAATTGATCAAGTTAGAGATTGAAACAACCCGAATAATAATAACTCTTAATCCAATATCACAAGCATCCTACAGCTGAGAACTGATTATTGCACTACACTCCCATTTAAACGATAGACTGGATTAAATGCCAATAAGACATCTTGCATAAAGCTTAAAGCTTTCTGCCTGAGCATAGGAAAAATGATTGAATACAATTTCATGCTTCCTCATCACAAGATTTTAAGGAAAGCAGATCTTAAAAAGCATTTCTAATCCACAGATCCCATATACTCAAGGTTCCTGACAGAAAAGCAGAACCACAAGAGCCTGTCTGAATATAATAATGGAAAAATATAGAAACAAATTAATGTGGACAGTAACCAGTTGATTGCTGGGTGCCAAAAGGAAGGTGGAAATATACATTCATTCCAACTGCAAAGCTGGTAGAGCTACAGGTGGGATAACTGCAGTCTTGTGCAACTAAAATTAGGCAGGTTAAAGAGGCAATCGCTGGCAATTTTGCTCATGTTCTAGCCAGATGGTGGGCTTTCCAGCTCAAGATTATCCTAGTCTCCTAGTTTCAACATGAGAGTTCACAGTTCTGTAAGAAAGACAGAAGAGATGCCTGACACTTTGAGAGAACTACACATTCCTAAGGAAAAATAGCAGTGGCTGTGATTTGTGGGCACTCACACATAACAGCTACAGCTGAATAAAGCCAGCTCTTTGTACTGACAAACTCTCAGAGCAAACAGAAGAACGAAGGGCAGAGAAACCCTTTCTGTCTCCTTGAGAAGAGTCTTTTCCCCCTACCTGCAGAGGGAGCCCATAAAAATTAATCTTACAAGGCTGAAGATGGTCTGAAAATCCCAGTGACTACATAAAAACCATCATTTTGAAAGATAAGACTGCATGTATAAAGGCAACAGACATTTGAAAAAGACTTCCTTTATACAAAAAGCATTTATTTCCATTTTATGTCACTGTTTTTTTTCCCCCAGTTTTCTAAGACATTTGTGTGCAAAATATTTCTAATCTACAAAAACTGGTCACTTAGTAGAAGATAGAAGAAAGCTTTTTGTGCCAGTGCCTAGCTAGATCTTTAAAATAGAATTAAAGCCTTAAAATCTCTCAGTTTAGAATCTAGTTCATCTTATGTCATTTCTTCCATATAAAAATCAATTATAAACATAATCTGTCATTAGAATGAAAAACCATGATGTGACCCCAGACTCCATTGCAGGGGTACTCCAAGGGCTGCAAGGAGGAGTGACACTCAGTGGCACTCCTGCACTAGATGACTGTGCTCAATGACACAATTTCAAGACAACTATGCTATTGGGTTACAGATACAAAGAGGATTACAATTACTCCAGCATGGAGAATCAGATTTCCATTCCTCAAGAATGACTAAAATTCCCCCAACTTTTTCCCTCCACAGATGGTACTGATTTGAACAAACCATTCCATGCTTCCTAGAGTAATCATGCAGCTTGTTTAAATTTTCCAAACATGACTCAACTATGATGAAGTGATCACTGTTCACACTAAAAGCAACTAACGCCAAAACTTGCATCTTTGTGTATTATTCCTTTAGACTAAACTGGAACTGTAACAAAAACTTATCTATCTGCACTTATATACTCCTGCTTTAATACAAGCTTAAAAGGCACTTTATTATTCTTCCTGAATTCCAGAAGGATCTATTTGAACAAAAAAAACTAGGAAAAGGGTGTGTTTAGGGTGATCTAGGATGCTAACTGTCTAGGACTGAGCCCTGATTAGCTTATTGGAATTCTAGTGCTAATCACATGTTTAAATTTTCCACAAATCATGGGCAGTACCCCTTAAGTTAATCATTCTATACCCTGCAGTCTTTCCCTATCCAACTATACTGCATTTACTATGATTCATCTAGCTTTGGGAGTAAGGTTTCCAAAGACTGAAAACTTTGATGCAATGCAATGTCCTCCATAGTTTTCAATTTACTCTTTTTTAATTCAGCTTCTGAAAGCCAGCCAGAATGCTGGCAGAGTGGCTAGCCATGAAATGCTGGTAAGTCAGTTTCTGGACTGGAGAAGTAATGAGGTATTTTCAGGTTCATCCACCATTGTTCCCATGATGGCCAAACTTCAAGGAAAAGTGCCGTAAGCCAGATCCACATGGGATCTTAAGCTCCTAAAACCTATTTACGTGCCTGAACTCCTACTGAAGTTGACAGGAAGTTAAGCACCTAAATAGAAGTGACTTTCACAGATCTTGGCCCCAGTTCTCTATGCTCGTCTGGCTGCAATGCTAATCAGTCCTTCCAAAGCTGGCAGACTGCTCTGAGATTAACATTTTATTTGAGAAAACAAATGAAAGGAAATTGCTTGCAGAAAAGGCACCTGACTGTACAAAGACTGAGATCAAGCTGAAAAGTGTTAGTGGAACTGTTTAAAGCCACAGGAATATTTTGTAGGAAAAATCTTATTTGCAATCCAAAGATAACTAAGGGCAGCAAAGGACACAATTACAGAAAGATCTACTGAGAAAAGAGAGAAGTTACAGCTTTCTGTAAAGACTTCTGTGGAAAGGAACGACTACAGCTGCATGGGCTGGGGAACAGAAGACAGTAATCTGATATGGCATAGTTCCTAATGAAGTTAATAAAAAAAAGTCTGCCTACAGAACAGCTGCTTGTAGCTGGAGTTTGGATTAAAAGAACAGTGGCAGCCTAGAAGTCTGTGGGGTGGTATTAAGAGCATCAAGTGGAGGAAAGTGAAGAACAAAGTAGAACACATAGCAGTGGGCACTGAACAAAATGATCTTCAGAAAATTGAGGCATTGGCAAAGAAAATGAACATTCTGTATTGATTATCTCCATTAATTTTTGAAAATTTTGTTACCAAAAGGAGTTTCCTGGGTTAAGCTGATATCCCTGGTGATACTAAATACCACTCTAGTATGGACTGCTAACCTCAGTGGGACTCATTGTGATATAAGGTCTTGCTTGGTAAGAACAAGAACATCATAAATAGGTCCCAGATGATTTCACTAACATAAAAGTGAAAAAAAACTGTAGACTGTTTTTCCCATGACTTCGGACTGATACTATCAGACATGCTCTAAAGGAAATTGCACAGTTGAGAACATGTCTTAAAAAAGCATCCTTGGTTTAGGTCTCTAACATTAGAAAATTCGGTACCTAACTGAAGGATATAAGGACTGAAAAATCAAATCCTACATATCCAAGGAGAAATGCACACCTTAAACAAGGCTTAGAAAAGTACTGACAACTGTCAGTATACTTTAGTCTTAAACTCAATCAAGAAGGCTCACCTTACTGACAAACTGGACCCTATCTGCTTTTCAGTAAACTATATATTTGACCTGTAAATGCTTTTAGTGCCAGCTTTGTATGTAAATCTTACCATGATTTCTTTTATGTTCAGAGTTAACCTAGTCTTTATTAAAAAAAAATAAAAATAAAAATAAATCATCCTACACTCTATGATTCCTCTATTTTTATCTACCTGCTTCCAAAAATAACATCAATGCAATGTAATGGGTAGCCACCATCTGATCATTGCATTTGTCTAGTGAAGATTTACCATCAACATCAAAGCCACTTATATTCGGACATACCAACTAATTAGAAAATCTAAAAAAAAGATCTACACTACATTAAGAAAACTGGAGTCCGTGGGAAAAAAAGCACTGAGTCTTGGAAAAAAAAAAATTGAAAGATTCGTGGTCCTTATATTCTTCCATTTAAAGGATTCTTCCAGTGCATATGTAGTTCTCTTCACAAGGCAATGAAGAAATTCACATTATCCAACTCACAAGGCTGTCATGAAATGCCATGTGCTATAAAAAGGCATATGTTGGAGGAAACAGACCATTTTCTTGGAGATGTAGGAAGTTTTAAGCTCACTTTGTGTACTTCACAGGCCTAGACAAAACTGACCATATTTTCCAGTGGGCAACTTCATTTTGGGTGTAAAAACCCAAATCCTTAAAGGTTTACTTGTTCAGAGAATAGACTTCCTTTATGTCCAAGAAATAACAGATGATGATATTTTGCCAGCTCTGCACTAGAAGACCTAAGAAATTTTTATATTAATAATCCTTTTAGGCACTACTTTTTTTCATCCATAAAGCATACTTCTGTATACAGCTGCCAGTTATTACACGCCAGAAAAATTAAGAAAAGATTAATCTGTAAAACGTTTCTTTGACAAATTCTTAGTAATATTTCTTTTAAATTGAAGTTATGAATGAATCTCTGTTTAGTAGAAAACAAATAGTAATTACTATCACCATAGTACAACACAGCCCTCAACTTGTTACAAGGCTTTGTGTTCATTTATAATATCACATAGGACTAGAGAAAAATTACACTGCATGTCTTAATATTATAATAAATAGATTTTCAGAAAATAGTAAATGCCCCAAATGGCTTTTTAATTCTCTTATTTTTATTCTTAACTGAATGACTCTTACACTGTCCCCAGACTTCTGAGCTAACTGAAGCTGCGCAGCTTTAGTATGACTTTCTGAGAACTATCCTACCAATTTATGGCTCTTTTTCCCTTCTAAAAACTCATTCAACCCTAATAAAATTTCATTTTAATGTGTGCATTTTCTTGAAAATAATCCAAGGACAGCTATTCAGTCATAAAATCCCAAATCATTTATGCATGTGTACTTGCTATATTATATTTCATATACTGCATAATGTATTTAAACACAAAGTAACATTACCACTACAAAGTTGATAGTTTTTGTAACGCACTGCAGCCTGGCAGAAGTGGTTTACCATGACAATGGAGCAATATTAGACACAAAAATCTACTAATCTCCTCATAAATTTAATTTTCATGATTCATGTTTAATTTTACCCAGATATGAACAAGTGTACCTAAATGAAAAGAAAAAGAAAAAGAAAAAAAGAGGCAAATGAACTCTGTAAAAATGCAAAGGTCAAACATTATGCAGTAAGACACGGAGCCAAATTCGATTTCACTTTATGTCAGAAATAAATGCATTGTCAGTGACTCAGTGCTGGCTACATATTCTGTGACTAATCTTAGACCACCATAAATAAGAAGCTGACAACAGCTATAAAACTGTTTCCATTCCCAACCATGAATCTCCAATTCCTAGTAGCCAGTCACCAGAAAACAATTCATGCAAACACACAGTTAAGGAAATGTCCTAATAATATCTAGTTTGCTGTAAATATGACTAAGCAACAACCTCTAAAAGATTGCAAGAAAGAGTCTACGCAGTGTATGTAGCAAAAATTATAATGATAATAAAAACATTAAAAAGTATATTGAAGTATAATCCTTCACTCAGGCAAACTCTTAGCGATTAAATATGTAAGCCATGTGTTGTTAGAAAATACTCTTATTTTTTCTGCTACTAGTACAAATCTATAAAACAGACAACAGGCTAGTAGCCTGTCTTTCAAGCCAAGGGTTAGTACTACATGCACAGAGTCTCCAAGATTTCCTCAAAAACTAGCAGCCAACCCCAAATTCCTCAAAAATCCCAGCAGCTAACTTTTCCAGGTGGCAGGCTTCTTCGAGGTTATCAGCAACATTTCTCCACCTTCAAAGAAGCAGGCGGCCCAGAAAGCTTCGTGTTCTCCTCTGTACCAGAGGGTAACATGCCTCTCATAAATCTGTCTTCAAAAGTTTCTGGGTTTGGACAAGCCCAGTTTTAATCAGGCATCAGCTTGCCAGTCTGGACACCCATTCTCAATTTCAGTCTTACTGGAGCTCTGAGTTAGGACTGGCTTTTCATCAGCTCTGATTTAAAAGAACGTGTACTTTAGATAAATGCTTGCCTGCATCCACATTCAACACAGCAGTTAAGATCACTGCATTTTTTCCAGCCAATGCCGTAAGATTTAATCATGCTTATCTCTAATGTTAAAATAATACATTTCTCAAAAGCAGATTTTGAATCCTGTTGATGGACAAAAGGCCCTGAGCAAACAAGAGGATGCAATACTGAGGTGAAACTTACAAATCACCAAAAAGCTAGAAAGGAAGGGACCTATTCTAAAACCCTAGAAAGGAGCCCTGTATTTTTCTTATCCACTAGCAGAACCAAATATTAAAAGGGCAGAGATTCAGCTGCCCGTAGTATTTCAGGCCTGCTTGTTTCATAGTCATCATTTAAATTAAAGAAAATAATTAACTTTAGTAATTAGTTACCTTCTTCTGGAAGTGTACTGGCATTGCATATCTGTTCTTCACCGTCACCAGCAGATGTTGCAGCTTTTATTTTAAACTGGTAAGAAATATTTGAAAGCAGATTTTGGAAAGTATGCAGTGTAATATTAGATGCAAAAATTGTAGAACTTCCTTCAACTGTTACAACGTAATGGGTAATCACACCGTTGGATGAAGCAGGAGGCTCCCACTGCACGAAGATCGATTCCCAGCTTGTCGCAATACAGTGAGCGTTCTGGACAACATCTGGTACTTAAAAGATACACATGTCCCAAAGATTAACATTCTCACAGAATTAAAACCATAATCACAGAGAAATATAGTTGGAGAAGCAGGGACATAATACTCAGAGAGAAGGTGAAATATTCCAGTGACGTATAAATAGACCATAAGCAAAACAGGTTGAGAGAACAAAAAGGATCTCTCTCCTAGTGACCTGACATAGAAGAGGCTACCTATCTGACTTTTTCCTAGTTGCATGCTCCAGTTTTAACTTCACTTCTCATATTTCCCTATTTTAATAATTGAATTGTAGTAGAACATACACAGAAGTGTTAAACTCATATACTCCGCAACAGCTTCAACAGCAGAAAATTCTTATTTATCTCAGCTTTGGTTTGTTGTTTTTTTTTTTTTTTAGGGTGCTGTATCATATGTCTCCTTTCAGCTGAGCAATGATTTGCACAGAAGTCACTAGACAGATTTCAGAGCTGTCCTGATAATGCTATTGCCTCACATTCTTGCTGGTCCCAGCAAGAGAAAGTGTTCATAAAAATCGAAGAAAAGGTAGCACATACTGTACTCCTGCTGAAAATAAAGCATTTAGATGTGAACAATTCATTAAAAAGAACAAGGAATTAAACTATCTTGGAAAAGGCTAAATTTCTGGCTTTACAAGCTAAGAGATAGTGAGTGCATAATAAGCATACTTCTTTTGCTGGAACATGTCCGGGAACTGTTACTGTAGAACCAGAAATAGAGGGGAGCACTATCATCACTGCATAAAGGTAGATGAATTTCTTTAAAATGATTAATTTGCTTTTCAGAGGTTAAAGAACACTTAAAAAAAAAAAAAAAAAAAAAAAAAAAAAGCAATATCTGAAGAAAGACCGGAGAATGTACCATTACATGAATTCAATAAAGAACTGAACAAAGAATTGCCCAGAACCTGGGATGGAGAGAAAGAAAACAGTCTCAGAGCTACTTGATCATAAAAAATTTAACGAAAAAACAGAAAAATGACTAGACCACACTCCTGTGGGCAATGCACCTCCAGCATTTCTGGAGAAAGTACTGAGAAAATGAACTGTTGAATGACTCAACTGAAGGGGGACTTTGGCTTTTTGGCAGGACACTTTCCAGCTGCAGAGATCCAACTTCCAACCTGATCCAGTTCATTGATGGTCCAGATTTCTCTTTGTGTTCTAAACACTGGATACAGTAAAGCACATATTTTTTTCCAGAACTGCTATCATATCAGCTCTGGAAAGAATATTTCACTGGAAGTGTAACCATGAAAAATTGCCGTCAAGGTATGGAATGTTTTGCTACTTCCTCTGCTCCCTTGGTTCTCTATGTAAGGGAACCTGGGAGTTCAGACACAGACTTCTATCCATGCTAGTATCCTAGACATCCCTCGTTGAGCAGAACAGCCTGGGAATTGCAACAAAGAGTTGCAGTTTTGACCAAAAGTCAGCTTTACACATTCACAGAGCTCCATGTCTCTCTTTAGCAGATGTTAAGTATTCTTTTCCACATTATATAATTTTTCGCTTTGAAACAACCTACAACTTCGAGATGTGTAGAAGGCACGTGTCAAAACTATACATAATTAATGAACTAAATCAGTTACATTGCATTGACCTTCCTAGATGTCAGGAAGAATAAGACCTAACAAACTATGATATTTAATTTAAAACTGGTTTTCTTTCCTAAAATCAATGATCAAATACGTTTCTAAAAAATTACATTTTCCTAAAAGATGTTCCAGTTCATTTGCCAATCTTTTGTCCAGTTAGTTTTGATGCTGTTAAAAATTCAGTTATTTTCACAAGGATCTGAATTATTGTTTTGATCTGCAAAGTCTGATATCCGATTTTCCTCCCTTTACCTGTGATGCTATTCAAAGATTTATAGTAGCCATATAAGCTTCTCATTTCAATGAGATCATTTCTAATTCTACGCTTCCGACATCAAACTTCAAACCCAGTCTATCCGGTACAATAGAAATGTGAATTGGTGTTACAGAAGCAGAAGATAATGAGATATTGTCATGTTACACTTTCTCTGGAAAGAAGGGGAAGACTGCTGAAAATCTGCATTAACAAAATGGTAGCTTACAAAAAGCCATGTCTAACCTGATTCCATTGTTGTAAACTGGACAGCATTACTGAACTGATTCCCGTTCCCAAGTTTGGTAAATGCAGAGACACTGATAAAATAAGTGCTGAATGGTTTTAATCCATCGAGCTTTGCCTCATTGTTTGAACCTGAAATATTCTTAAAAAAAGGAAAAATTATTAGTACATACTTAATCTTTGTGAATATTGTGGGCCTCATCTTGAACCCACTGAAATGAAGAGAAAATTTAGAGCTATAGTCTTGCCTCTTCTCTCAGTAGCTTTCAGTCAGACAAAGTAGTTCCTGAGCTCAACTGAAAGGAATGCAGGGTCAAATTCTTCCTTTCCTTTCTCTCCCTCTTTCACTGTGGCTTGTAAGAAAGATATGCCAAAGGATGGCATCATAATTACCATAGCATTTTTAGAATAGATTAACTCCACATATGCCTTTTTTCCCCCCCCCAATACTGAGAACTTTTGCTACCTCTACACCACCTTCTCTCTATCAAACTCTTTATCAACCACCTACTTCCATAGTACACATCTTCAGTGAAAGAAGTCATGAGTCATAGCTTCACATTTCCCTTAATTTACCTCAACAGAGTTTGATGAAGAGCTAAAAAACACAGTACAGTTGCTGGTAGCAGTTCTTTAGAGTCACAGAATGGCTAGAGTTGGAAGAGATCTTTGAAGGCAATCTATTCCAACCCCTGCTTAAGCAGGGAAAGCCAGAGCAGGGTGTCCAGGCCCATGCCCAGGCAACTTTTAAAAACCTCCAAGGAGGAGACCCCACAGCCTCTCTGGGCAGCCTGTGCCAGTGCTGTGTCACCCGCATGGCACAGAAGTGCTTTCTGAGATTTAGACAGAACCTGTTTGTACCCATTTTCTCTTCTCCTATCATTGGGCACCAATGAAAAAAGTCTGGTTCTGTTCTCTTTGTATCCTCTCTCCAGGTGTTTATACACGTTAGTAATGTCCTCACTGATACTCCTATTCTCTAGATTGAATAGTCCCAGCTGTCTCAGCTTCTCCTCATAGAAGTGCTCCAGTCCCTTTATCATCTTTGTGGCCCTCCATTATACTCTTCCCAAAATATTCATGCCCCTGTTGTACTGGGAGGCCCAGAACTGGTGACAGTGATCCAGCTATGGCCTCACCAGTGCTGAGTAGAGCAGAAGGATCACCTCTCTTGGCGTGCTGTGACGCTTTTCCCAAGAATACCATCAGCCTGCTAAGCAGTAAGGGTGTGCTGCTGACTCATGTTCAACTCTGTGCCCACCAGGACCTCAGGTCCTTTTCTGCAAAGCTGCTTTCCATCAGGCTGACTCCCAGCAAGTCCTGGTGCTTGGAATTGTTCTTTCCCAGGTGCAGGATTCTGTATTTCTTCTCTGCTGAACCCCACGAGATTCCTGTCAGCCCACCTCTCCAGACTGTCAAAGGCTCTATGGATAGCAGCATAGCTCTGTCATGAGTCAGCCAGTCCCCCCATTTCAAGTCATCTGCAAATTTACTGGTGCTGCACTCTGCCCCCTCATTCAGAGAATCAGTGAAGATGTTAAACAGGACTGGACCCAGTACTGACCCCTGGAATACTTTGCTAGCTACTGGTCTCTGAGATTTCGTACTATTGATTACTGTCTTCTGGGCTTGGCCATTCAGCCAGTTTTCATTCCAACTCACTGTGTGCTTATCCAGCTCTTACACTGACAGCTTCTCTATGAGGAACTTATGGGGGACATCACACACACTTATGCTATATTTTGTGCATATTTTGAAAGGACTCCAAAAGCACCAGGGAAAGATCTGAACTTCAGCAAGAAAAAAAAAAAGTGTTACAGGGATGGTGAAGGGGAGATGTATGAAGAGCAGCTGAAGTCCCTCAATGTGTTCAACCTGAAGGAGACAGAAGGGAGACCTCATCATAGTCTACAGATCCTCATAAGGGAAGCAGAGGGGCAGGTGCTCTCTGGTGATAGCAACAGGACCTGAGGGACTGGCATGGGGCTGTGTCAGGTGGAGAGACAGGTAACATATCAAGAAAACATTCCTATCCAGAGGGTGGTCAGGCACTGGAACAGCCTCCCCGGGTCGTGCCACCAAGCTTGCCAGAGTTCAAGAAGCATCAGGACAATGCTCTCAGACATATGGTCTGATTTTTGAGTGGTCCTGTGTGGAGTCAGGAGTTGAACTCCATGATCCTTATGGGTCTCTTCCAACTAAGGATATTCTGTGATTCTAAAACCTGGTGAAAATTTTATAGGATTCATGTTATCAGAGAATTATGGTGCCTAACTACAGTATTTCTAAATAAATTGCTTGCTGTCTTTCTCATTGCTACAACCTAAATCTGGTTTCTTGGACACAAAGAAATGTGGGGCATGGCATTTTCATTCAAATATTGATGCAGTTTCTGTAATTTATTTGGGTTGGAGTCTGCCTCAGAGAGACAGTGGAGAATAACCTTTGGGGAACTTCATGGCTCTCAGAGAATGTGATTCCAAAGGCATCTGTTGTATCTGCAAGGTATCTCAGCTCCTCCAAGGACCATGGAAATAAACTGGGGTCATGGCAGCACTTCATTTCCCATGGGGACTGCAAAAGACTGCACAGTAGGCAGACAAGGTATGATCTCTGCAACTCATAAGCTTAACAGCACGAACACTTCTCTTGTATGCTAAGTCTCTAGAATTGCTGAGGGAGATTCTCTTCACAGTCTCACAGCAGACCTTACATTGTCTCAAACTTATAGCTGATTGCAGCAATGTCTTCTCACTCTAGCTTTTTTTTTTTTCCATGTGTCTCTCATGAACACTACAGTTTCTAAGCCTGAGATGCAATGTTGGTCTCCGCTCGCTAACCATTCAAGGAACCAGACATAAATGCCTTGATCAATTTCTATACTTAATTTTACAGCATCTATTGCAGTTAAGTTTTATCCTGCTATTCTGTAAAAAATAAATAAATGAAAACCTCTAAACAAGTTTTAACCATTTTTTTTTCAAGATGATGAGGAATTTCTTTTCTTCTTTTTGAATGTTGGAAGTCCACAGATACAAAATGGCCACAAAACAAGTCACTTCTGTCATTTTCTAACATTATACTTAAAAGGAAATACGAACTAAAGATTAATAAAGCTTGCAATTAGTGAAATATTAGATGCTGAAAGCAAATTAAGATGTAACTACATTTTTCTACTAAATTTTAAAATCTCAGCTATATGCATGGTGGGAGGGTATAGAAGTTTCCTAACTGTGGGAGCAGAAGAGACCTTTAAAGTATTTGTCATAAATTTTGTTTGTAGAAGATTGGAAGAAGACTTTATCTGGCAAAGAAATTGAACACAAATACTACAAACGTACCTGAGAGAATATTTTTTCAGTGTCGTTGTGATAAATCTTTAGATTATATCTTGTAATAACACCATTTGGCTGAGGACTTGGATCCCATTTTAGCCACACAGAATCTGCAGTGTAGTTGGTAACGGTCAAATTCTGGGGTGGAGCTAATGGCACTGCAAAAGAAAAATGCTCTTTAGATCCAAATTACAAATATTCCAAGCAAAACCAAGCACTTCAGAGAAGCAGCAGAACATATGAATGTTTGTTACCATTTGTATTTGAACTCAATAGATTGGCTCTTCCTTCCTATGTATTTATTTTATTTCTTTTTGGCCTGAAACAAGAACCATGGAAGAAACTGGGGTCGTGACAGCACCTCATTTCCCATGGGGACTGCAAAAGACTGCACAGTAGGCAGACAGGGAATGACTTCTGCAACTCATAAGCTTAACAGCACAAACACTTCTCTTGTATGCTAAGTCTCTGGAATTGCTGAGGCAGATTCCATTAACCAGGAATATGTTTAGTCAGCAAGGGATCTTCTCAGATATCTAAAAAAAACTATTTGTCATTTAAATGGGCCCATTGTAAGAACTGAGACATTTAACAAAAGTCTTGGAATTTATTCTTGGAATGAAATGTATTTGTCTTCCTATATCTATACATATACCTACAAGATAGCATCATTTACCACAAAGGTGAGAGGAGGTTTTTGTAAAGGAGACCTGAAACAATGTCAGAAATATTTCCATGTTTTATAATTTTTCAGTTTTGCACAAAGAGAGATGAAGTTGCTTTCTTCAAGTTCCTTGACACTTGATCAACTCTAATACATTCTGGAAGCAAAAGATGTTCCTCCACGAAATTACTTTTGTAATTCTATGCAGAACATGACCTCCTCTGGCACACTGTGATGGGAGGAGAACTAAGAAAAGATTTCTCTTGCAGTGTTTCTTTCTTCTGAGAGCTCTTCACACAAGACATTGGAAAATAAATCTTTCATCTCAGCTCTTTCAATGTGGGATGTCAGATTTGAGTCAGATGCAATAATATACAGCAAAAATTTCGATGTTGGTTAGAATCACATTTGCTTACCTGACTCATCCGTGTAGAAATGAAGAACAGAAGATGGACCAGATCCTTTTATTGTTCTTGCAGCTGTGTAAATACTGTATAATGTGGATGGTACAAGGTCTTCCAAGATGATAAAATTATTGGTGGTAGAGAATGAAACATTCTTTTCTGACCCAAACAATTTTAAATCATAGCTTATTATAATACCACTTGGCTTAACAGGAGGATCCCATGAAAGCATAACTGAGGTAGTTGAGAGATTTGAAAATGTTTTGATTATAGGTGCTGATTCTGGGACTACAAAAAGAAATAAGAAAGAGAATAAAAAAGGATAACCTCAGAAAAAAATACAAGTTATAATGAAAAACGTGTTTCAGCTAGATTAGATAGTTTAGTTTTGGTTAAAGTTTTGTTCTGAGTAAAATACAACTTCATGGACTCAGCATGAGAAATGTGTAGCAGTTGGTTGCCATTTTGCAAACAACAAAGTTTTAAATAAAATGAGAAAGATAAAGTTTGTTTTTCTTTTCAAAAACTATTTACTTTCCAATAATAATAATTAAATTATTATAATAAAAAAATCTTATTCCAAGAATAAGAATAAAAACTATTCTTAAACTTACCATCTTCATCAGTTCTTATATGCAGACTTAGAGCATGCAGTTCAGAAGATCCTTTATCAGTAGTTGGTGTGATTTTCAGAATGTAATCGGTGTATTTCTCCAGATTGTCAAAAATGATGCTTGTATTGTAAGTAAGAAAAGACAATATCTTACTGGTTCCCAACTGTAATAAACTTAGAGAAACATGAAAGAAGACTAAACCATTTGGCTGGGATGGTGGAAGCCAGCTTACATTCACAGAAGATGAGGAAATGTTTTGATAGACCAGATTTTCAACAGGACCATCTGGGACTGGGAGAGAAAAACAAAAAATAAATATGTGGATTACAGCAATAAACAACCCAAAACCAAAACAGAAATACATGCCCAAAATACGATTATTTGTAAATCTCATTTGTAAAACACTACATATTTTGTAAAACTTCTTAAAATTATTTATTTTTTACTATCAAATGCAAAATATTTTCATAGCGCGTATGTATAACCATCTCTGTCACATCTGACTAATTAAAGAGCCTTAACGATGGTTTAAGATAATTTTCTTATTGATTGCATCCAAAAAAAGGAGCTTCTGAACTACAATTCGCTGTATTACAAAGCAAAGACTCAGATCAAAATGTCTTCTAAGCAAAGGAAAATTTTAAAGTATGATTTACTGGATTTTTTTTATTTTAACTTTTCCATCTTAAAGGTAAAATCATTTTAAAATGAGTGACTACTGAATGAGTGCATAACGAATATGAGTGAATACTGAATTGAATGCACTGATATACACTGTAACATCAAGAAGTTATTCACTTACTATCCTGATCTGTGTACACATCTATTATTTCACTGGTTTTGTTTCCATCTCCAAAAGCTGTACTTGCAGTTAACCATAGAGTATAATGGCTGTATTTGGCCAAATCATCCAAAACTGCAGATGACATATTGACATTGCTGTCATTATCATGACTTGTGAAATTCTGAAGGAAAAAAGAAATGTGTTATCACTGAAAATCAATGTTATTTATTCATTGGTTTCTTTTTGTAGCTTCCCATTTAGCCATCATCACCGAGAGAGATGATTCACCATACTATTCAGGGGAAGTAAATCTATACTTTGACTACAAATAAGTTCCAATTTTTATGGAAATATGCAAGTTATTTATACAAAGATGTGAAGTATTACTCCTGTTAAGCACCACAGTACACCAAATCGACTCTTCCTATTGTTTGTAGTAATTGAATTTCAATCCACTTTTTTTTATTGTTTGTAATCACATTAGATCTGTAATATTGCAGTGAGTTTATTCATATTGCAACAGGTAAATAACAAAAAATTGTTACAAAACAATAATAACAAAATTGTTCATAGATTACATGAGCACATGTGATCGTCTTGTCTGATCTATATAAAGTAAACCAAAGCACTTCCCTCACTTTATTCCTATTGTAAATAGATCTTACATAAAACTTTTAACTAAAAGTTTCCTGGAGCAGAGATCTTACTAAAACACATGATAAATGGTTCCTTTTGTTAGTTATGCTTATCATTTAGAACAAGTCGTTATTTCTAATGCAAACAACCATCTTCATTGGATTGTGGTGAACTGAAGGGACAAACAGAATTCTTTTCCTTGTGCAGTTATTTGCTATCAAAACTGCATGAGAACCAAATCCTATTTTCTTTCAAATTACATACAAAATTTCGCCAAAGCTATGACTGTTGCAATAGGTTACTGCTTTAGATCAGATATTATGAGGAGGCTGTTTTGGAATGAACTAATTTTGAAACTGGAAAGAAAAAAATAATTTGGATTATTTGCGTAAGGTCAGCTATACCATATAACAAAATCTGTCACATCTTAATCGTTTTAAAGCAACCTCAATCAGAGAACCCACAGTGGTTTGGCTTAGCATTTGAAAACTGTAGGTTGGTCATGCACCCGATGAAGATAGTCAGATCCTGTATAGGGCTAGGAAGTCAAACCTTTGCTCCAGCTTTGAAGTACCAGTATAATTCCTCTCAAGCAGCCACGCTGCCCCATTGAGCAGATACCATCAGCAGTTAAGATGACAATAATGTTTGCATATTCAGAAATACTGTGCATGAAGAAAGGCATGTTAAAACCATGTAATAAAATTAGGCTATATTTCTCTTGAGGAAAGTTCTTATTGAAGAAATCACTGTGATATTCTCTACTAAATAGCTGAGTGTTTGGTGCATGATTTCTTTGTCTGCCTGCAAATTCTATTGATTTATGTATAACATAACATGACATATTATTATTTTTTTGTACAGGCAAAATTACGTTATTTCTGTAGGAAAACAAAACAAAAACAAACATAAAGAGGTAATACTTGTTGATTTCCTTGAGATATTCACAACTGTTTCTGCCAACAGTTACTACCACTCATTTACACAATGAAGCTGCACAAATTGGCAGTACAGATTTCTATATCCGTTCCTACTGGCAGACTTAAAGCACATGGAGAGGATTCTATGTAAGATCAGGTTAGGTCAACATCAGGCAAAATACAAAGAAATTCTACCTTTATATATGACTTTCATCTAAATATAGATGGAAGATAACACTGTCTTCATGTAAATAACTGAAAAAGATTGGGAAGAGTTTTCTTTATACTCAGGCAGAGGAAGATGCAGGAAGCTAAGGATCAAAAAAGGGATTTAATTAAATAACCTGATGCTCAAGCACAGTGTGGCAGAAAATGCCTTTGGAAAGAGATGCATCATCCTACTACCCGCCTGTTATTCCTACTATTGTATATTTTTCTTATGAGTAATACTTTGTAGCTGACATTAATAACTGAATAGTAATAACAACTAGTATGATCAAAAAAGGACTTAAAATATTTCTGAGTTTTCAAGCTAAATTTGTCAAAGGTACCACATCAAATTTTGAGTTTAGATTTATTGTGAGTTTACTAATATGAACAGCTGAAAATCCAACTCTGACTTTAAAAGGCATACCTTTACAATTTAGCCAGCTGCCTGTCAGTTTGGCATGTGGTGAACTAATGTGAATGCTATAACAACAGGGGTTTTGGTGGTTCAACAAAAAGCTTTTTAAAGAGAGAGTCCCATTAATACAAGGAGCCCAAGGAATGATAAGTGAGGAATACCTCAAACTTCCAGTATAACAGAGTATTAGAAAAGAACACATAATGAAGAGTAAAGGATGAACAGGAAGAGCTGTGTGGGTACAAACTGAGAAAAGATGAAACTTGTACTAATTGTACCCTGGGGACAGGACACTATAGGAAGTTTTACAATTAACTGTGGCTGCAGATGAAAGCAAACAGCTCAGGATCTTTGGCTACAGCTGAAGAAATTCTTCCTTCTATCCCCTTCTTCATCCATACATGAAAGAAGTTTTGACATAGCGAAGTATCAGATTATTAAAGCAGCTACATGTAAGCAATACAGGCCATGAAAGTGTCAGCAGAAAGTAGTATCTTCTTCACCCTAGGCAGCAGCAGAAATTTCCATTGGCATAAAGCTGTAATTAGTTCTATTCAGACAATACAGCGTTGCTCTTCTTCACTCTTGACCTTTTCCCATTGTTTTTTTTCTTTAGGTTCATTGTACCATATTGTTATTTTAAGTTAGAATATCACATTACTCTGATATCAGGTGAGTAGTAATACTTTGAGGCCTAATCGAAGCCATCCCTCAAGAAATATAAAACACACTGTTTGCTATCTTGCCTCTTGTGATCTGTACTGTTTTGAGACCAGCTTTTCAAAAATCTGTGTTGTACTGAAGAGCATTTTCCTTTTTCCCCTACTGGTCGTACTGGCAAGAGAAAAAAGTTGCTTGTTAATACAGCACATTGCTTGCAATCCTTGTCTGCATTCTAAGATGAATCAAGCCAAATTCCACTCTGAACTGCATCCAGTCATGTTCCAGTTGTATGTTGTGGGGTCTAATATGCTGTTAGAAGAGCAGCATGTTTTTTTTTCCCTGCTTAGCTTCTGGTTCTCCTGCCTAATCTGGAGCAGGACAGCTGTCATGTGTCCACGCACAAATTTATATTAGAAACTTGCACCTTTCTCACTTTCTTTCCAATCAAAACACAAGTGTACAGAGATTGAATAAAATAGTTTGTTCAAGTCAATAATGTTGCGTATGGATCATTATGTAGCAACAAGAAAATTGCTTCCATTGATTCTTTCACTTACTTCCATGGTAACACTGAGAGTGTGGGTAATATGACTGCTTGAATCATCACACAAGGAACCACTGAACAAAATTTGAAAAGCTGCTGTTTCAAACTGTGAAAGCTTTAACTGCAGGAATCCAACAGCATGACATAGCAGTAGCAAGAACAAGAACAACATTGCAGGAGTTGTCCTTGGTCAGAATGCATCATCTCTGTACCACGCTGGTGCAGAGCCAGGAGCAGAAAACAAAAAGTAGCAATTTCCCTAGACTTGTGACAGGAGAATCTGAAAGATCCAGCTGAACTTGAATCTAGCCTGGAGCAAGGGATGGTTTCTTCTGTTACCTGCTAGCAATGCTGCCTGGAAAACACTGAAGTTATTACCACAGACTACCACTTCACTTCACTGTACTGGAAATCTTTACTTGATAATGATCAGTGTATTTGGCTGCCATTCAATCCTCCCTCTCTGACAATTTTTTTTCAGATCCTGCCAGTATTCCACTGAAGCGGCCCTCTCATCAACCAAAGTCCTCAAATCTAATCTCCACCACTAAGTTTTCCTTCTGTTGTTCTGGTCTAAATGCCAGGTCTGAGCATTGAAACCCCTCTAAATGAACAGCCACAGTGCAATTTTTCATGTAGATCTGTAAAGCAAAGCATTATTCTTTACCCTACGAACTTTTTGTAATTTTTCTTTTTAGGACAAGAAACCACTTTTCCTGTGACCTTCTGTATCTCTCCAAGAAGTAAATAGCATTTTTAATCTCAGGTCTTTTGATTCTTTTTTACTAAATGAAGTGCTTTACTCTGCAACTACAAATTCCCTGTTTTTAATAATGTTATTCTTATTAAGCGCTTTATACTCCAAGGAGTTGAAAAATGTGTGAGGACTTCTACACATACACCAGTCACGCTGGCTTCCACACACACATTTCTCTGTTGTAAAAGTTTAGTATGAAGTATCTGACAGAGATGAATTTGCAAAAGTTGTTTTTTTTCTCCTGTTTCAATGTCTTACATCCATGGAAATGCCAAGGAACAGTATGGGAGTAGGTATGGTGGTTGCCATGCCAAACAGTGAACAGAGGGATGTGAATGGCAGAGGGAGTTCAGGGGAGCAGACAGATAAGGAGTGCACCACAGTTTGATACATTAATGATGATCTTCCAAGTCCAGTAAGAGACATATGCAGTAGTATCTGAAATTTATCTTCTGGCAGTTTCCCATAGTGGAATGAGTTAAAAAGCAAAGCTGAAAGGATGAAAACAGTGGTTTCTACACCTAGAAGTGCAGCTATTGGCAGTGTCTTTCTGCTGTCAAGCACATAATCAGACAGCACAGCAGAAACTTCTACCCATGCCACTGTCCTTCCCTTGCGCAACTCCTTTACGCTGCAACAAAACTGGACCCTCATCTTGTTTGGCAAATGGTACTGTGCTCCATCTTCCCTATCCTTCATTTCCAGAGTCCTCAGCAAATCCAGAGGGATAATAGGTCTCACTGTATCAGTTTCACCTTACTCTTTCATCTCGGAGTCCCTCCTTCCTAAACACAGTAATAGGCTGTAGACCTCCTCTAACATTCATTTAGTTGTCCAAGTATTAGACAAATTTCATAGGATGTGTTTGTTCAGGCAACAAACTGGTGTCAAAGTTTCTCCAGGGATTTGTTAGGACAAGAAAAATGCTGTTGGTCCAGTACTGTGTGCAAGTAGAAGCTGACACTCTGAACTGTAGCCCTAATTTTAATCTCATCAGAATGTGAACGCATGGCATGGTCCTGATTGCATCAGAAAATATGCAGACAGAGTCTAGCAACTACACAGTTTCAGGGAAGTCAGAGATGTGTGAACATTGAAACACGTCAGCAATGATTCAACCAGTTATTAGTTGAATTTAGTTATTTCTAAGATCTGTGAAATTTTTTTCTATTATCCTCAAACACACGTATACCTCACACTAGACATACCTTGAGGTTAAACTTATGCAGCACAGGTAATTTTTCATGCATTAATCTCTTCATGATATTAAAATCCCTTTTTTTTTTTTCTTCCCCATATATAAAGCTTATAAAGCAAAACCTGTAAAGGAAACTAATTTCTGCTCTATAAAAGCAAACTTTTAGAAAGGAGAGCATTTCTGTATGTAAAATTAATAAATATGATGTATAATTAAGGATGAAAGTATTAACAACAACAACAAAAACCTAGAAGAGAATGTCCAGATCACCAAAGAATAATCACATAAAATTTGCCTTTTATGCTTTATGCTAGGATTCTAAATGTCTTGGTTTCAAGATACTAAGCAGTAATTTATCTCTGAGAGTAACAAAAATATGAAATAATAAACTGTTCTCTAATTTGACAGTATTACCTTCTTATTTTCAGTACTGTGCAAACATGCACTAAAAAAGTATAAACAGAGCTGTTACAGGAATTACTTCAACTTGACAGATCAGAATAAGATAGTCTCAAGGATGTGCAATGGGTCTTCTGTCTACGTGTTGTGTTTATACATGCATTACATGTGTGCATATATCCGTACATAAGCTCTGCATTATAGAGTAATAGAGGAGGCCTGTTTGCTTCATAAATAACTCTTCTTGTGCTTAATGTCCAATGAGATGTACAACACAACACACAATATTACAAGTCGTGCTTCTGTCTTTGAAAGTTAGAAAACTGCCTTTGGTAAAGAAAATATGAATAAACATTACACTGATAACTGTAAAATTGATATAAGTTCTGTTTACCAAAATAATTATTAGAACACTTTACTGAATTATGCAACTGAAGAATATAAAAAAGAAGTTTACCTGTATAAATATTCCTGAATCATTTTTGAAATAAACAGAATAGTACCGTATATTTCCATTAGGCTTTTGAGGAGGAGACCAGAAAAGCATTATCGATGTGGAAGTAAGGTTTTTGTACACAATATCTTTCGGTGGATCACCTGGAGCTGAAAATATGTTAAGTTTTAGCATACCTAACAGTTTTGTACATTATAGTACTCATGAAATAGCCCCTACAGATTTGACAACATCCTGTGTCAAATTAAATGTATTTCTGAATATGTTATAAAAACTGCTTCTAGAAATGATAAAGTAAAATTGAAATTGCAAGCAACATTTTAAAACCATACTTTTCGGATGTGTTTTTATTTAGGTGCAGAGGCACACAGAAGCTTTTGTCTTATAGAATTTGTCCTGTACTTACTGGTTTGTACACATAGAAAGCCTACATTGTGCATGCCCACAAATTAGTGACAGAATTTTGACAATATCTAATTCATAAACATTAAAGTTGACCAAGTGAAGTCTCTAAGCTCCAAATAGAGTTAATAGGAGAAAAAAAAAAAAAAGGATTTCACGGAATCACAGATTTGTAAGGATTGGAAGAGACCTCTGGACATCACTGAGTCCAACCCTTCTGCAAAACAGGCTCCCTATAGCAGGCTGCACAGATAGGCATCCAGAAAGGTCTTGAATATTTCCAGAGAAGGAGAATTGACAACTTCCCTGGGCAGCCTGTTCCAGTGCTCCATCACTCTCACTGTGAAGAAGTTGCTTCACATATTGCTGTGGAACCCACAGAAAACCTAAATCAAAAGCCTCCTTCTCTCTTTGACAATTATAAATAGAGTTTAAGCTCACAATTCTTGAAGGCTAACCAGATACTTAAATTTGGACAATACAATCATTTCTGTTTTTCTCTCTTTCCTCATCCTACTCAATATACAGGAAGGACCATGTAAATATTCTTCAACTAGAATCTCCTACTATCTGGTAAGGAATATGGTTCTTGTCAGTAGCATAAAGATGTAGGAGGCTCAAACTCAATTCCTTATGTCAGCTTAAAAGAATTTACATCTATAGTTCTGGCCATATATGAAAGCATTCCATACAAATGCAGTAGAGCACTGAACACTGTAGGTGATCATTTGTTTTGTGCTGTTCTATTTTGTATAACGTATGAAAACATTAATTGGAAGGGAAACTCCAAGATCCATACGTTAAACCCCTGCCCTAAAATATCAGTTCATGTTTCCAAAGCAGCATTCGTAGCAAAGGCTGGGAAAAGTCTACAACCCAGTGTTTTAAAAACCCTTTTGAGCTATGACTCTGATAAAAACTAGTCCTGCTACTGATCGTTGCAAAATTGATCTCTGTATGATAGATCTGAAATATGCCTGTGTACTATGCCTATAGGAATGCACTGTATCAAAATGCTTGGTTGGAAAACCAGAAACAGTAAAGAAACTAAAAAAAAAAAAATCACAGCACTATATACAATATGACCATTTAAAGAAGTGATCTACCATTTTGAAAATTGTTAAAAGAGAACAAACAAGTAAATCATTGTACAGCTTTCATTTTTTTGTTCAGACCTCTATGAGATTGTGAAAGAGCCTCTGAGGAGCATTTTTCCTATCAGAACTTATGTCAGAATAAGGTAGTGAAAACAGCTATTAAAATATATTATATATTTTTATAATGACAGAAAATCAAGGCTGAATGAAATAAAATATTCATGTTGTATATAAGCTTACCTCCTTCAGAAGTTCTGAATATTATAGTATCACTTTTTATGTTGCCATCTCCAAATCTTGTGCTTGCTGCTACATATGCACTATACTCAGAGTTATTTTCCAGATCTGTGAACTCCAGTGATGTTTCTGTTACATTAACACTCCTTTTTGACATTTTATTCCTGAAGAAAAGATATTTTATTAATTAGTTATGCATGGATACAACTGTGGTATATGATGTCAAATAGAAAAATGCTATCTTGTGGCAAATACATATATTTTTGGCTTTAAGGAAGATCTTGATGTATGTTGCCATATATATATTTGAAAAGCTTACTTCTGTGCTTTTGTATCTCAATGGAGCTCTTAATTTCACTTAAAAAGGAAACGAAACAAAACACAACAGAAACATGTATGTAAATTACATCAGCAAAGAAGATTATAATATGGAATATCAAGGAGGAGCATATCCATCCTGTAATTGCTATCAAGTGTGGTATCCTTGGGAAGGACACACTAGGGCATAACTAAACTGTCTCCCTAGACAGAAATAGCGAAATATAAAAAGATTATAGCAGGGAGCATGCCCTACTGTGACTCTGTGAAATTGGTCAGAAGGCTGAAGTTATAAATGGAATAATAGAAGATGATATGGAACAGGAATTAGCTGGTGCTGAGTTAATTCTGGTGGAATGTAGCAGGGGATCAGAATGGAACTCTAGTCAGGTCAAAACCAGCCTAGAATGACTATAAGATGTAACATTAATAAAACGCTGGTATTAGCATAGGTATGAAATGATTATCAGAAAATAAAATAAGATACAGGAACAACTATCTTGAATTTTAAAATTCTGTTATTTAATATTTTATGAAAACTTAGCACAGAAAAGGCTAGATAACATTCCAATCCTGAAAACAATTCTGAATGACTGGATGCCCTGTGCCTCTAATGGGATTTCATAGGGGAATTATAATTTGACAAGTTCAAAATGAAAAAAAAAAAAAAAAAAAAAAGGCTCATCTTTTCTTGGGAAATAGTCTTGATAACAGAAAATGTTACTAACATTTATATTATTCTCAAAGTTCTGAGAGTCTGAGTAGTCTGTAAAGAGATATGAAGCTTTGCCATTATGAGATTCTATATGAAGAAAAGACATACTTTCTTGGATCTTTGCCCATTATATTCTTAGTGTGGAAAAATGTAACTGCTTATAACTTAAGTAAGAAAACTTACAGCTTACTGCTGCAAACATTCCCGTTCTGAGTAACTGCATTCTCATAACATCTCAACAACTAGATCATAGATAAGAAGATCTAGAGTTTGGAGCATTTCAATAAAAGTTGATTATCTGTTTGGAAAGCAGCAGAGACTGTAATCAAAGCAATAAGAAAACACTGACAAAGGTGGATGCAGGCTTCACAGACAATGAGAAAAAGGTGTAGCAGGGTAAACTAAGCTGAGGAATTTTAAGAACTAAGTTTAATGAAAAACATTAAGTTTTAAGTGACTAACTGAGACAAAAGAACTGAGAAATTGCGTACGTGAAAAAGATAGGGACCACAGTTTCATGAAAAAGCTGTACTCTTAAGTAGATTTAGTCAGTAATTATCTCACACAAATTTGTTGAACAGGTGAATAACAATTTTTGAGTCTGAAATACTTTCTTGAAAGAACTAAGGTATTGGTTGCTTAACTACTACAGAAAAATGTTAATAGCTCTTGTCAAGTTAAACAGTTTTGTTAATACACCTTGGTACTGCAGTGCAGACTCAGAGAATAGGAGTTTGTAGATCAAAGCACCCAGAAAATCTCTTTGCTGCTTGCTAGTACTCAAAGGCAACTTATACTGAGACAAAGCCTTGAAAGATAATAAAAATGAGAATGTTACTCTTTGTGTTCTAGAAGTTGCAAATTCTTTTTCTCAAATCTTTAAATTTACCAATTTTTCTGTAACTGTTGCAATGTAGTTAAGAGAAAGAACATTTATTTAGCATCAGTATTAGCTTCTTCCTTTATTAAGAAGCTCTGGGAGTAACAATCTCCAAGTAAAATATTGGATGACCCCCAAAAGCAGAAAGCAGCACCTAGGCAGTTTGCCTTGTCAAATCTCACATTAAAATGCACTAGATGAAATCACATAGCCAAATCCATTAAATATTTAAAATGTAAAAAGGAAAAAAATAATAAGTGAAGTTGTGAAAAGTTATGAGTGAGTTTGTTGCTTCAAGATGATACCTAATGCCTGTCTAATTTTAGATTTGGCACAGTAAGGATGGATAAGACGCAGCAAGGAGAATATGGAGGGAAAACGGACAAGGGTTACTTCAAAAAGTCATGTGGTTGCTCAAATGAGATATTTGGAGAGATGGTTCAATGGAGTGATGGTTTTTAATGACAAATTCTAACTAACTTGTCACAGCAAAATTAGTAAGCTTTTAGACAATATAAGGAAAGAAAGTGCTATAACCTCAAACTTTTGAACACAGTCTGTATCAAAATGATAATCCATATTATGATGTAACACTTTCCTAGATGTAAGATAGGCATTAATTTATTTTTCTTTGTGGTAAAAGAGCACAAAACCTTTCAAACATAGTAGAAGGATCAAGCCAGGCCAAATTTAACTCTTCTGGAATAATGACTCCCTCCTGCTCATTTGAGAAGTGACTTTGCTGGAAGTTATAACTTAAAAAAAAAAAAAAAAAAATCAGTAGAAATCAAGGCCAAGTTCTGCCTCAAAACTGAAGTCATGTTAAATTAATAAATGTAAGCTCAATAATAAAGACTGATAATTTGCACACTCGGATCACATCTCAAAAGGTGGACTTCTTTATTATTTTCTTCCAGTGTCTTTTGTAGTGGCAATAGAATGATACATTGTAAATGCGATTGTTAAAAGTAATCAACAACAAAATCTTCTTAATCCTAGAAGTTATATTTAGATCTTTGAAGAGATAACACATCACTAGAATGAATTATATTATGCAGAGAATAGCAAAGAACCTTTAAGTTTTAAAATACCAAAATCCCTACTGAAAGATTAGAAAACATTCCAGGAGCAATGACAATGAAAAAAATGCACAGAAGCAGAAAGGACAGAAGAGAAAACAATGTAGTAAATGAAAAACATATGTTAAAATTTTTTTCCATAAATATAATGTATACAAAATACAACATTAAGGATAACAGTACATACAGACTATTACTGTGACTCTTGAGTTCTTATGTCATTTAGATGGTTGCTGGAAGAGCTCTCAGATTTCTTTCATGCACTTTCTACAAAAGAAATCTATTTTACATCAATTTCAGATCTTTACACTTTAGGATAAGCCAGTGCCCTGCCTCAAAACAGGCCAAATCAGTATGGAACGAAAGCCAACACAATCTAAATCAAACATTAATTTACACTGAAAAAAAAAACCCATCATTAAAAAGAAAAAAGAAAAAACAAAGAACAGAAAAACTTTGCAGGATATTCAACACTCCAATTTTCAGCTACTACATTATATCTGAATTCGTGTACACAGAAGGCCAACATTCTAAGTGTTGGATGAATATGCATTCACCAAAAACATGTAATCAACATATTGTGTAAGAAAAACCCAACATTCCTGCTAGGTTACAGATTAATATTTATCCTCAGAACTATTTCCAGGAAATCTTACCAGACATAAACTGTGTAATAGAGGATAATTCCATTTGGCTCCAGTGGAGGTTTCCATGACAACTTCACAGTGACACCCGACAACTGTTTTACTGCGAGGGATTCTGGAGGAGAACTAGGAGCTATAAAATAAGAGAACGGGACACAACATCTTGGTAAACAGCTAAGATCTATGGGATATGCAACACCCTTACATAGGACAGTAATTATTTGTGATGGAAAATTAACTTTGTACTACACCAGCACAGTATCCATCAACTAATGTTATAGCACAGCTTCTCTTCCTTTTTCTGAGAGATGATAAAAGAAGATTTTGCATGGTGGTGCTTGAACATCTGTTTCTGTGATTCAATGGAAAAAGTACTTCATGAGAAAACAGTGTATTTGGTAGGTCACAATGATTCACCTACTGTCCGAGTACATTGCTGCAATGTTTTTTCTTCTAATAAAAGCAAGAGCTTTATAGGTATGAACATGTGTAAAATACAGCAAAATAGTTCCCCTGAGGGCAAAGAGGTGCTGGAAATAATTATACGAAGCACCAAAATGTGGAAAAATCAATAAGCATGGCACTGAGAGATGGTAAAATGTGGGACACTAAGCAGTGGTAAAATGTATTCACTCCATCCAATAAGGACCACATTCATAAATTTTATGTCTCACAAGGGCAAATATGAAGATGGGCATTGACTGAGATCAGTAAAATTCATGTTAAGATGAACTTTATGTGATACCATGTAACAATTTTGTAGGGAAACAGAAAAAGTAAGTGAAAATGTTGGATCGTGCTTAATTTTATTCCATTTGAAGTACTCTAAAGTTCTTATAAGTATTGCTGAATAAATATGTACCTAAGTAAGCACTAGTGATAACATTGTAGAAGCATGTTATTGTGAAATAAACTTTGATTCACAGATAGTAGTAGTACTATGTAGAATGACTTTTGTTCCTCTCAAATTAAACCAAAAAGCATCATGTACTAAAAATTCAAGTCATAATTGTAGTCATGCATGAAAATCGAGAATAAGAGCATAGTTATTAGCACATCTATGAAACATTTGGTCTGAAACTTGGAACACTATGTTCCTGTGAATAAAGTACGTGGTGTATTATAAGTACTGTTTCTCAGTTGTTATTTCTTTCACTATCTTAGAAGTTGGCATAAAAGTTTTAAAGTTCTGTAGATTTAAGAAAAAACATTTTTCATGAACAAAAGCTGCCACTGAGTGTCTGTATTTAGAAGCAAAAATGGTGACAGCTGTATTTATTGTTTTACATGTATTACCATCAATGGTTGAATAATAATAAAAGATCTATGAAATAATGAATGCCATATCTTTTTGTCCAGTTCATACTGAATTTCTTATTCAGGGGATACTTGCTGAAGAACAGGATTAGCATTGCTCTAAATAAAAATACTCTTAGTAAAAGATGGATTTATCCAAATTAGCTGTTTGCAATGTGCTCCAGCAATGTTACTATTGAGCAAATATTTATTACTGATGGCATGTATGTAAGGACATCAGTACCTGGGAGATGTGCAAAGACCTACTATAATCAGAAGCCAGTGCTCCCAACAACATGGAATGAGATTTAATTTAGGAATGCATGGTGCAATGTTTATGCCAATGCAGCTTTAATTTGTGTTCTTAGTGTCTTCCTCCCTTTATAAACACACATATGCATACACACACACAAAGGGACGCGAATAGTTGAATGTGTAGATAGATGGATATTAATAGAGTTATAATTACAAAAACGTTTCTAAAACCTGAACATGAAGTGTAATAGGTTAGGAGTACAAGTAGAAAATGACACATCACAATTTCTATTTTGACTTACCATCCTCATCAGTCAGTATACGCAGAGGTACACTATGAAGGCCCTCCCCCAACATGGTACTAGCAGACACTTCTATCATATATTCTGTGTATTTCTTCAAATCTAAATGAAGAAGAGAAGTCCAGCAAATCAAACATTCAGTGAGGGAACCTTCTTCTATTAACGGAAAAAAACTTGAGATTGTGTGTCACAAGGAGAAGTTCTGAAGTGCTGAAGAGGCCTATCACTTGTGCCTTTAGATATTAAAATGAGCATTAGGAAAATGTGAACATAAAATATTCCGCATGAACAATAGAAGGGGCGAAGTGCTCATTACCAGTTAAAATCATATCCTGAGTTGGAAGGGATGCACAGGTGTCATCATATCCAACCACTGGCTGCACACAGCACTACCAAAAATCAAAGCCTCTGAGAGCACTGTCCAAACACTTCTTGAATTCCGAAAGCTTGGGGCTGTGCTCACCACCCTCTGGTGAATAACTTTCTCCTAGTGCCCAACCTGACCCTCCCCTGATGCAGCTCCATGTCATCCCCTTGGGTATTGTTGCGGTCACCAGAGAACAGAGCTCAGCATTGCCCCTCTACTCTCCTCATGAGGAGCTGTAGGACACCATGAGGCCTCCCCTCAGCTTTCCTTTCTCTGGGCTGTACAAACTTCATATGTTTTGCCCTCTAGACCATTTTATACTTCCTATTTCTGGAATGCTTAGATGTTTGTCCTTAGCACTTCTTTGAAAATTTACTAGTTAGGGTATTGAGTGGCCAGAATTAGCTAATCCCTGATAGAGCAGGCTAATGCATCATAATGACTTAACAAATCAAAAGATGGAAAAGTGAGTAAAAAGGGAAGTATCATATTCACAATAAAACTGGTGACCTCAGTGCTTTGTCACAATGATAAATATGTCAAAAAAGTTTAATTAAATTTAAATTTAAATGTTAAAACACAGTAAGAGACACGTTAGATTGTATACCACGCATGGTCCATTCCACAACAGTACTATAGGGCTCAACTGGATACTTCCTAGGACAAGTGGCACCTAACTATACATGGACAAGAATGATCTTGTCCATCCAGTGAATCTGTCCTGCATTAGTTGGTCTGTTGAGCCCTTCTCAGAACAAGTTGCAGTTGCCTTAAGATTCATATCATTATATACTAGCCTGTAATACGTAGTACCAGATGAGTGGTGTTTATAACTCTTTCCTCGGTTCCATTAGTCCTCTTGAGATATATCGTGTAGCGCTGTATGATTCCATTGGGAATGGATGGTGGAAAATATGACAGCTCAATTTCCGTGGATGAGATGTTCCGATACGTTATGTTTTCTGGTGCAGAATTGGGAACTAGAAGGTAAAATTTAGACTTGTAAAAGATTCCTGTGAGTTTCATTGATTTCTTAATCATTTTCTTAAATTGGTTAAAATGAAAAACACTGTAAATATTTTTATTTTTATCCTTTTTTGTGTGTTTTTTGTTGTTGTTGTTGTTGTCGTGTGTTTGTTGCTAAAATTTCAAAGGAGACAATATCCAGAAAGGGAATAAATGCCAGTGGAGGCAGTGGAATCAGCCCCCACTTTTGCCTAATTTCATGTTAGAATAATAACAAAATGCTCTCAGGAGCCTTTTGAATACATCAGCCCATGAATAGGTTTTAGTCCACTAAAAATGCTCCATTTTCCAGCTCCTCTTTTATTTTTATTCTTCTCATCTCAAAAGATGTTTTTGCATTCTCTATCACAGGCAGCTGGAATTCAAATTTTTGTTCTGAGCATCAGGGGAGCTAGGCACTGTGAAGGGTCTTGAAAATGAAACATAGAAAATATATATGACTAAGTTAAAAAGAACAATAAAAAAACATCTATGGATATGTACACTGAATCAATTGGGCAGATGCCGATATATCTATCATGTCTGTCAAAAAAAAAAAAAACAACAAAAACAAACAAAACCCACAGCAATAAAAGAAGTACCACCAAATCAGTACAATGTTTTTGTGCCTCTATTTTGAGTTCAATCTCATGAACTCTTAAAACTAGCTGCCTGTGTTCTCATTCCATGAGTTGTGATTTGTTTGGCAGCTCTGGACCACACCTACTTCACATGTCGCAAATCAAATTTCACTTCAGAAACGAGGAGTTCCCAGTGATAATTACTGTGTCTTAACAATCAAGAAGCTAATGCATATTCCCCACGCCTTTTTGAGATAGAGCAATACAGGCACGTCTTTCCTTACTGAAAATTCTAATGAACAGAGCACATCTAACTCCAGATCTAACTCTAGGTATAGACAAAGTACCCAGTTGTCTAAGACAGGAAATTAGTCAAGATTTTAAAAAGCCTCAGAAAGGTACGAGTGTCATACCAGATGTATCTCGATATATCTGAGTCCTGAAGGAAATGAGCCACTTTTTATTTCTGAACCTACAGCTTAACTCAAACATCTGTTCCTCCGTGTCAAACACTGTTCTCAGAATTTTTCCCAATGCAACTCCTGTTTAGCTCCACTGAAAAGCTAATGACCCTCCCTCTTTAATTTATATTCTTTTTCCTACATTATCTTATTTTAAAGCCAACAATGCCTTGTTACAACTTTTTAATATTCATCCTTTCTTCCCAATCCCCACTTATACTTTTATTGGAAAAATTTAATTTTATTTGTGCATTGTCCAAAATATTTCCAGCAACAAACAAACTCAGCTACTACAAAGAGGCACCTTATCAGTTAATCCTGATTTTTTTAACCATTAGAATTGATTTCTTACAAAATTTTAGTTCATAAATTGTATTCCAAGACAATCACATTTTGAAACCCTACTTTCCTATAAAAATTTATTTTCCCGCAAGATACAAGAAATACTTGAGGACAAATAGCAAAATATATGATGCCATGAGACATGTGTATTCCAATTGTTTTCTTTACTTTTTAATCACTCATACTATTTCCTCATGTTTGTTTTGTGTATACAAGAGAAAAAAGAGGATTCAAAGTTTCTGCTTTGCAAAGCAAAAACCTACTTTTAAAATAAATTAACATGGACTTCCAAGCATCAAATGGCACCATAAAGCACTTGTCAGAAAAAATATAGTTTTCCAAAAAATTATACACTCACCAGTTTCAGAAGTTCTCACCAGAAGTGGGAGAGATGACTGATTCCCATGGCCAAGTCTAGTGAATGCCCTTATAGAGATGTTGTAGAGAGTATAAGGCATCATTTCAGTAAGTGATATATTTGTAGATGAGGTGTTCCTCACAAATAAATCATTGGAATCACTGTATAGAACTTCATAGTGAGTTATGAGACCGTTAGGCTGCTCAGGTGGTGACCATTTCAGGTTTATCTCTGTTGCAGTCACATTTACTATCTCTACATTTTGGGGTGGGGAGTCTGGTTCTGTAGTAAGAAATCAAAGAACAAAAAAGTCTGAGACATTCAGTTAATTGAATATAGGACTAATCTGATAAACCTATTGGATTATTATTAAATTCTGTATTTTTAACTTTCCGCTAAAAAAAGTAGACAACTTTTTGTATCAGTACAACTTCCTTTGTCTATTGCTTTCGTTCAGACTGGTTCTTCAAACCTCACTGATTTCCTCTAATTTAATTTTGTTGGAATGTCATCTTTCCGTCTTCTTCTTAACAACGACCTGTTCTATTTCCCTCAAACACCAACCGAACCAGGAAAGGAACCCTTTGCAGTGTAATTGAATTCCCTTTAGTTTACTGATAGAGTTCCTAAATGATAACCACTGAAGATCCCAGTGCAAACCCTGCGTACGTGGGTTACAAGGTGAAGCAGAAAGCAAGTCCAGCTCTAGGGTAGTCTGTTGGCTAAATCTACTGGCAACGTATGATTTCATGCAACTCTAACAAGCTCATAAGCCCCTGAAGAGCTGAAGGAGTAAGTGGGCTGCACTTATGAATCAAGTCAGCTCTGAGCATCAACCTTGATTCCTATAAAGGCCTCATCACTTCACTCCTGAAGTAATCTATCTATAAAACTGAAGAAAAAAAAGTTATAAGAATGCTGGATTATGCTATTCAGTTTGTGCACAAATAAATATATATAGACATTTTAGAATTTTCTTTAAGCTTTTTGATGTAAAGGTGTCATGGAATCATCTTCATTCCTGATTTCTGAGCCCAGGAATCAAGAAAATATTCACTGTAATAAATCACTACTCTTTGGAAGGCAGGACAGCCCACATAAATAATTCCCATGTGAAGAAGCTAAATTTTCAATTGAAATGGATTTTTCAATTTATCTGGCATGGAAGAGAAATATTTAAGTACCATAGCCTAATATATTGCATGCTAACATTGCTTCAGTTAGATGTAGTGACTTTGCTATCTGGAGTTATCTCTCTTTTCAACTCATCAGAACTGAGGCAAGTTGTCATTTCTAGGTTGGCTATAGTAAGGATACATGAACCTCAATCTGAACTTCATCGGGAAAACTAAAGAAAGAGAATAACAAGATGAGAATAATTACACAAAACTTTGTAATAAGGCAGGAATTATCATTGATTTTGTCTCAATAGTTTGCCCTGGGCTTACATATATCAATTAATTATTGGACTGAAACTCAACTTTCTGTTACATTCAGATGCAAGGCACTTTAAACTTAAAATTTGTTTCAGGGAAATATTGAGATATTGAGGGATATTGAGGTAGGCAGTTTCCCATCCATGTGACATGCCCTCTCTCTGCAAAAACTAACAGCATAGAAGCACAAAAGCTGTAAAACAATATGATGAACACTTTACATTTTGCTGTTTACTATTTTAATTGTTTGGCTACTCTACTTATCTGAACTTCATAAATCTCCATAAGATTTAATCGTTCAATCCTTTACTTTCTTTTTTCCCACTTAATTATTTCTCCTGTATTGTAGTGTATTTGACAGCTGTGAGAGATAAATGACAATTAGATTATTGCTTTCTTTATTATTTTGATAAAATCTGGAAATAATTCAAAGCAAGTGAAAATAAAAACCTGATATAAATGAGGAATGATTAAGTACTGAATTCATATCTCTGCTCTGTAAATGAAATTCCCATGTTTCTCTTTGTGGAGGTCAACGGCAATTCAGCCACTGACTGATTGAAGACTAATAATTTCAACAAACATTGATTTTATTAATAAGCTTTCTTCCCATCCTTAGATATGTGCACAGACTTCTTA